CTATTGGATTAAGATCCGGGGATTGGGCTGGCCACTCCATAACGTCCATCTTGTTGGTCTGGAACCAAGATGTTGCACGTTTACTGGTTTGTTTGGGGTCGTTGTCTTGTTGGAACACCCATTTCAAGGGCATTTCCTCTTCAGCAAAAGGCAGCATGACCTCTTCAAGTATTCTGATGTATTCAAACTCATCCATGATCCCTGGTATGCGATAAATAGGCCCAACACTGTAGTATGAGAAACATCCCCATATCATGATGATTGCACCACCATGCTTCACTGTCTTCACAGTGTACTGTGGCTTGAATTCAGTGTTTGGGGGTCGTCTGACAAACTGTCTCCGGCCACTAGACCCAAAAAAGAACAATCTTACTTTCATCAGTCCACAAAATGTTGCACCATTTTTCTTTAGGTCAGTCAATGTGCTCTTTGGCAAATTGTAACCTCTTCAGCACATGTCTTTTTTTCAACAGTGGGACTTTGCGGGGGCTTCTTGCAGATAGCTTGGCTTCACATCGGCATCTTCTAATTGTAACAGTCCTCACAGGGAACTTTACACCTTCTTTCATCTTCCTGGAGCTGATTGTTGGCTGAGTCCTTGCCATTTTGGCTATTCTTCTATCCATTTGAATGGTAATTTTTCGCTTTCTTCCACATCTCTCAGGTTTTGGTTGCCATTTTAAAGCATTTGCGATCATTTTAGCTGAGCAGCCTATCATTTTCTGCACTTCTTTATATGTTTTCCTCTCTCCAATCAACTTTTTAATCAAGGTACGCTGTTCTTCTGAACAATGTCTGGAATTACCCATTTTCTTCAGAATTTCAGAGAGAAATGCACTGTAACCAGCATGTACAACATTTGTTGCCTTCCTTCCTTAAATAAGGGCAATAATTTCCACCTGTTTTTCAAAGAATGAATGACCTCACTAATAGAACTCCACACTGCTATTATTTTGAACATGCCCCTTTTTAATTAGTGATTCAATTACATAGAATCAGCAGCATGCATTTCATGACTGTTGGGTCTGTTGGATCTCTATTACTCTACTACACCTGCTAGTAATTTATTTGCCATGTAGAAATATCATTGCTACCAAAAACAGTGATTGATCCGGTTAGTGATGTCTGACTGCTATTATTTTGAACACAACTGTATGTATATATGTATATATATATATATATATATATAGAGAGAGAGAGAGAGAGAGAGATTAAGGTGACCCCCAACCTCCTACAACCTGCCATGGGCGGGCTTTATAGATACAGAAGATTACCCCCTGCCTACAAGGACACAGAGTGCCACAAGGACCAATGTTGCGGGCAGCACCTGATGTTGGGTGTGAGGGACAGACAACTGCGGACAACTGGTTAAGAACCAGATACAGGAACATGGTAGCATCTGATCAGAAGACAAGAACATAGCCAGGACATAGTAAGTTGTCAATAGCTGGACAGCAAGGTATTGGTTAAGACGTTAGGGCCAGTATCAGGCTACAGGCCAAGGTATGTAACAGCCAGGCAGTGAGAAATAAGTAACTAAGGCAGCATCAGGATACAGGCTGAGGTCAGTTAACAGCCAGGGTACATGATTCTGAATCAGAGGGCAGAAAGCAGTCCAAAACATTGGCTGAGGTCATAATGGGCAAACAAGAATGCAGAGACATGTCAAAGTCAAGCCAGGAACAGGAAGGCAGAAGAAGCAGGTCAAGTTACAGGTTATTCAGGAACTATCTGAAGACAACTTACCGGTAGTAATCTGTCCATGTCACACTCCAACTTATGTAAATCAATTGGTGCCAATACCAGTGCTGAGCCAGCACATGCACCCGCTGCTTAGCATGCACACATGATAATACACATCTGCTTGTGACCTTATGCACAGAACCAACAGGTTTTTTTCATTGAACATATATATGTTGTCAGTGGGGTAATTAAGTAAAGTCTCACCTAAAAAAAAACAAAAAATCTTCGCCTTGCTACGCTTGCATATAAGCAAAACGCGTTGACATCACTGGGTTTCACATGACGTTTCTTTGCCCCGCCCCCCCACGATACTTTGATGGCAGTAGACGAGGAGTGAAGAGTACGGGCAGATTGCATCTCTAATAGGGAAACAGCACACGGAGAATTGACCACGGAGGAAAGGGTAAAACCCAGAGGGTACCCAAGTGTGGTAAGATCTTGTGCGGATGTTTTGAAGACTACGGACTATTGGAGCAATAATTAGTGATATAGCCTGCGCTGGTACACACCAGGGACGCGATTGGTCCTGCTCCCCAAGTGGACTTTACAATAGGGTTGAGCTTTGGTGTTAATTTGTACTGCTATGACATGCTATACACAATTTCCATAATCCCGCGCAATATCTAGTGGCACAGCCTTACCTATGCTGATTAGTCTTCTCTATGCCGCACCTGTCACTTGGATGCTGTTTTCCTTGCTTGCAGTCCATCATTAACTACTACGCTATGCATGGCATTACCTTTACCACTTGGCTTTTTCAATCTGCAACTAACATGCTAGCCGGTCATGGAATGTAGCTTCATGAAGATGCCTTGAGATGGACTTTGAAGCATATTGGAGAAGTGATACTTTTCAATGTACCCTGATTTCATAGATTTTTATGCCCCCGTCATCAAGTATTAACTCACTAATGGACTACTGATCTAAGGAATTCCATGGTTTAACCTACTATACAAGCCTCAATTTCATCTCAGGTAGTCTATTTATTGGCCCTGGGGCACATACGCTGTATATATGTATATATATATATATATATAATATATATATATACACACACATGCTGTATATGTGTGTGTGTGTGTTTGCATATCCGGCTTTTCTATTATCTGATAGTATTTAAGCAGTTTGTTTTCCGCACTGGTATTATAGGATGAAAAAACCTAAAAACACGTGTTGCTCACTTGCATTCTGGGTTTAGTGTGTCAAACAGAATTGGATCACATTATACATATAATTTCTTTCTTTAGAGTGGCAGCACATTCAAAAGCGTATCAATTTGTGTTAGAGAGTTACTAACATATAGGTTACTGAACAGAGAAAGTGAATGTCAGAACCAAAGTAAAACTGAACAAAGATAGCACAAACCAAGTGTGATTAACCTTTATCAAAGAGGACAGCACAAAACACGTGTTACTCAACTGTATTCCGGCTTTAACGTGAGCTTGTTGGTATTAGTCTCCTGAAGTCACACTACAGATTTTTCAAGCTCCCTCTAGCTGAAGCCTAGTAATAGTATTACTAGGAGGTTTATTCATTTACTTGCTACATAACGAAGGCCAGAATCTTGACTAATATCAGATTCTTGACCTGAATAAATTCAATCAACACCTTATTTTGAAAGGCATTAAAAGGTGGAAAAAAGGGAAGGGATAATAAAGGTAAGAAAAGATAAGGCCAAAACATGGCCAACATGGAGAGGTAAAGAAACAGAAAAAAAGAAAAAGTGATAGGGAGAAATAGGAGGTATAAGTAGTAGAAAAGAGTAGTAAAAAAGACCAAGCAGGAAAAAAGGCGGTGCGAAGCAGAAGAAATTAGGGTTAGGCTAAGGAAGGGGAATCAATGGTATAGTTGGGGTTACTGTTAGGGTTTACATACACTTTAACCACTTGCCCTTCAGCGGATTTGCCCCCCTTCCTGACCAGGACAGTTTTCACATTACAGTGCTGCATTATTTTAACTGACAATTGCGCGGTCATGCAACACTGCACCCAAATGAAATTTATGTCCTTTTTTTCCCACAAATTGAGCTTTCTTTCGGTGGTATTTGATCACCTGTGTTTTTAATTTTTTGCACTATAAACAAAAAAAGACTGACAATTTTGAGAAAAAAAACAATATTTTGGACTTTTTGCTATTAAACATGTACAGTAAAAAAATTTAAAAAGTCAAATTTTGTCATAAATTTAGGCCAAAATGTATTCTGTATTTCCTTGCAATACGTGTAAATTAATTGGTTTACGTGAAATTTATAGCGTCTACAAATGGCGGTATATATACTGGGTTTTTTTTTTTGTTAATACTAATAATAGCGGCGATCAGCGACTTATTGTGGGACTGCGGTGGGCATTCTGACACTGGGGGGAACTGACTAACTGTCACTGACATTCCCAGTGACACTAATACGGTGATCAGTGCTAATAAAAAGCACTGACACTGTATTAATGACACTGGGCAGGAAGGGGTTAACATCTGGGCGATCAAAGGGTTAACTGGGTGCGGTGTGCTGTGTGTGCGTTTCACTGTGTCAGCACAGAGCAATACAAAGCAATATTCAGGAGCTGACAGGGGAGAGATCTGTATTGTTTACGTACAGGTCTCTCCCCCATCAGTGATACTCAGCGATCGCCGGGTGCAGAATCACTTATATATACCTGATTTTGCACAGCCCTTCCGCCCTGTAGCAGTATTTCTGCTATAGGGTGGAGGGAAAGCAGTTACGTTCAATAGCACCGAACAACATTTATTTTTGCTGTCAGCACAATATAGCTGCTACATATATCATGAGTGATGAAATATTGTTTCTTAATTCTGACGTACTTTTCCTCTGCCCTACCTATATTTATCTGTTACTAGATAGTTGTTATTGCATCACATCACCTGCTACTAGATAGCTATTATTGCTTCTATTTTTACCCAAAGAAAACCTGTCCTGTTGCAATACATAGGCTGCTATCGCTGATCTCATTCTGAAAATGCTAGCTCCCCTGGCTGTTTTACTAATCCAGAACCTTATATACTTTCCAAGTCAACCACCTAGACAAGCATGTAGCCAGTGTTCTAGAGCAAAGTTAGATCTTTCTGAGTCAGTGAACTGAAAAGTATTGAAGTATTGATAGGTGTGGTAGCTTGGCATACATAGGTTAAAAAAAAAAAAGGGCCAGGGGAATGACCTCCGGGTCACAAACAGGGAGCTGTCGGCAACAGTTTTTCAGTGTTCTAGGAGCAAGTAGCGAGTGCACTCTCAGCACAGAATCTTGGATCTGCATGGATGCATTTGTGGCAGCTGGATATTAAGGCTAGGTTCACATCTGTGCGGGTGGTGCCGCTGTCGATCCGCACAAAAATCCATACAACCGCACCACCCACACAGAGAAATGCGGACCCGCGGGTGGGTGCCTTTGGTTCTAATGGTACGCCGCCTGCACTGGAAAACGCAACCGTACTGGGAACAGAGGTTCCCGTGCGGGCTGCGTTTTTGGAAGAAGTTCAGGGACTTCTTCCCTGCGTGTCACGGGGCACGGGTGTCCATTCAAATGAAAAAAACACGGCCCTCACGGCCGCGTATATGTGAACCGGGGCTAAGACCCACCTGCTCTGAAGTTAACCCGCTGGAAAGAGGTTAAAATGTGTGTAAATTCTAACAACATAAAATTGGGCAGCACAGTGGCTAAATGGTTAGCACTTCCATCTGGCAGTACTCTGGTCGTTGGTTTGAATCCCAGCCCCGGCACCACCTGCCTGGAGTTTGCATGTTCTCCCTGTGCCTGCGTGGGTTTTCTCCTGGTACTCCGGTTTCTTCTCACACTCCATAGACATGCTGGTAGGTTAATTGGATCCTGTCTACATTGGCCCTAGTATGTGTATGTATGAATGTTAGGGACCTTAGATTGTACGCTCCTTGAGGGTTAAGGACTGATGATGCCAATGTACAATATATATATATATAAGCGCTGCATAAATTGATGGCGCTATATAAGTACCAATAATAATAAACTTCTTTCATTTGCCTCCTTTTGCTCTGTGTAGATGTATGAAATTAATTTTGTTCCGAATATAAATTCAGGCAAATTTTTGGCTATTTGGAGATTAGGATAAATCAGAATCTCCAAATGAAACAGTAACAAATCTCATCGAAATTCATTTAGTTTCATTTTTATATTAATTTTCTAACGAGTTCTAAATTTTGTAACAAATTTTCAGAACAATTTGACTCGGTAAAAAATGATGATCCGGATTCTATTTGAAGAATAGCTGGTGGCTAAGTAGCGGGCCAGCAAGCTGGTCGTGGCATCCTTAACAACTGATAACTCATCAGCTGTCAGGTGGGTTCCCAGCTGACAGCTGAATGTAAATAAAACAATTTCCAGCAATTAAAGCATTAGAAAAAAAAAAATGTGTGGGGATCCCCTTTCCAATTCATCCCAGGCCCTTCGGATCTGGAATGGATTTTAAGGGGAACCCCACACCGAAATAAAAATTGTGGTATAGATGAGGAGAAGCACCCAAGCAGATTTTTTTATAATTTTTATTGCTGGCAATTTTTTTACATTGAGCTGTCAGTGGTTGTAAAGGATGAGGTGGCAATTTTCGACCAATTCAAATAATCATTCTAAAAATTCTAAATTTGTTAGAAAATTAACAAATGATACAAAACTAAAAGACTAAATAAACAAAACAAAGCTAAACAAATTCTGAAAACAAATAACAAAATTAGTAACATAACGAATGTACCCGAAATGAAACTGAGCAAATATTTCCATTCTACACATGTCTGGCTCTGTCAAATACCCCATTGAAAGCATTCTATTATATCTGTTCAATAAGTGCAAAAAAACCTGCTGATCCTGCACAAAGCCAGTAAGTGTGTAACTTCCTATGCTCTCTACCTTTGACAAACGTTGTCAGTTAGCATTGTTCCCAGCTATCTTTGTGAACTACATAACACTTACTCATGTTTTGAAGATAAGAGCCAGAGGTGTCCTGTAGTTCTAACCAGGGGCGGACTGACCATTTGGAAACTCGGGCACTGCCCGAGGGCCCGAGGTTAGTAGGGGGCCCCATGAGATGCCCCTGATACCTTTTTCATAGGCTTTTTTGAGTTTGGGCAAGGACACAGGGGCCCCATGATCCCCTATTGCCCGGGGGCCCCATGTTTTGTCAGTCTGTCCCTGGTTCTAACATACTTCCAAGGGTGGCAACTCTGCTTCTCCATAGACACAGTACTGTGAGTGAGTGTTATCACCCTAGGACAGACTGGCTGTTTTGCCAAAAAATATCTTAATTCCTCAGAACTGTGGAAACATCATCAAAGAAGAAAGCTTTAATATCACTTGTGTAAGCTAAGTACACATCCCACGTAAAAAAAAAAAAAAAATTCACTTTAAAAAAATTAGCTCATCCATTTAGCAGGTTAATAAGTAAACGTGATAAAAATGGCCATAATTAGTCAAAGTCAAAGTCCCAGGAGATCTTCACACATTACATAGAAGGTTAGAGAAAATTTGACATGGAACTGAACCCAGCCTTCTGCCTCTGCGTCCTTTTGTCTGTTACATTAGGTGAGTAACAAAATACATCCAAAAACCGCATTTGAAGGGCAGCCTAGGTGACAGCCAAGACTCCAGCCAGATATACAAAGGAGGAGCAAGTGCAGCCATCTAAAGATAGGAAGTTCGTTATCCACAGGATTACCAGGAAACAACTAAGCGAAAAAGCCTTTAAAACAAAAAAAAAATCATAAAAATGTCACATTATGTTGCCTTAGGGTCTACTTTAGCATGCCTTAAGCACTCTTGCCGCTTGAAAAATGAAGGCTTATTAAAGGAAGCCTATTTCACAAGCAGACCAATCACCCCATTTAAAGTTAATGATATTTAATAACATGAATATTTCTTTAATGAAATACACCCCCTGTGTCCTCTGAAGAGCAATGCAACTCTTTAGGGAGTGTGGCTCGGCAATGTTCCCCCTTTCATGTGCAATGTTCCCACTTTCAGAAGTGCCTCCTTTTCTCCCTGGCACGTTTCCATGGTTCATAGGCATTGTGTTGTCCCTGGGCTTTCAAACTCTTTTTCCTCCCTTCTGTGTCACTATTGATGTTTCCTACAGTGTAGAGATTAGGACCATTTCTACTATGTTGCTCTATATTTAGTACTTTATGGGAGGTACACAAAGTTGAACTGTTTATGAGATTGTAGGTGGGTTGCCTATGTGGAGTTTAACTAGATGCTGCTCGGGGCAGGAGGGTTAGGGTTACTGGTCTTTACCGGGCTTTGTCATGGTGGGGTTTTTTTTGGGTCTGACCCACTGGACCTTAGTCAATATAAGGGAACAGTGGTCCGAGTCCAAAGAGTCTCCCTGTCTGCTGTTACCGCTGCCACCGCTGCCACCGCTGCCACCGCTGGGGTTAGCTGCTATGCCGATGCCGGAGTACTCACTTGAGATCACCTACCATCAGGAGTCTTCTACCATGTAGTGGGACTCGTAGTCCGCCTTGAAGATGCCAAGCCCGGATTCTTCCATATTGGACACTGCCAAACATGGACTTTTGCCTATGCAGGTATGCTGGGGCAGCCAAAAAGCCTGAGTGAGGGATTAGGGATGGTAGGGAAGAATGCACTTGTTTTGAACTTTGTATGTTTAGAACTTCTTAGTAAAGCTTTTGGAAAATTTGTCCTTTGCCTGGTCTAAGTTACTAGAAGAGGTGTAATGCAAATAACTGGCACTATACATAGTCTAAAGCATGGGTCAGTTGAGGCACATTGGGGTATGAAGACACCATTGTGGTTGCCAAGAGTAATGGGGTTCTAACAGCAGCCTGCCCTGAAAAATGCACCTGTGATAAGTGAGATTGCCTCTTGCAGTGAGAGATGTTGTCAGCACTCCGTAGACCATCCATCTCAAATAGCAACCAGAGCAGATCTGCACTGCAGAGGTCCTCGGCCTGTGCTTATGTAAAAGAGGAACAAGAATTAAGTTAGTGCAAGTATGGAGTCCAAGCTAGGGGCTCGGCGGGGGCCCCATTCCATTACTGGTTGTGAGGTGGCAGAGATACGCTTGAACAGGTGGAGTTGGAATAGTCTCAACGTGTCCTTCCTATATGCAACAGTCTACAGGAAGGTGTACAATGAAACAGGGACAAGAGAGTTAACTGGAGGACAGTTATTGTTCAAGTTTACATGATGTACAACCATCTCTCAGGTGAGAGGTCCACCTTAGGGTTAAGTATTCCCTGAAAGTGGCCCTAGCCTTGTCCTGGAACATTGATGGATACAGGACAATTAAAGGTACCCCATGTGCAAGGGAGGAGACCCTAGACTATGTGCCTACCATAGCCCAGAAGAAACCAAGAGGCGGTAGGCCTCCTGGGATCAGCCCACATCATGGTGCTTGGCTACACCACGTGGAGAGGTCTCTAACCCCTGCCCCTGGGCTATGAAACTATTTACTACTGAGCTTTTTACTACTATTTAATGTAGTTTTAAATCTTTATATATGTTTTTGGTTGTCACTTGAGGATATTGTGATTTGGGTGCAGTGTTGGCCAGTACTAGAGAGAAAAGATTTGGGGGGGTACTTATTTCAGATCATTGCAAAATGAGCAAACAGTGTGGGAAGCAAATACAATAGGATGCATCACGATAGGGATCACCAGCAGGAGGAAGGAGGTCCTGACTCCTCTATATAAATCTTTAGTTATCACTAGAGGGGTCACAAGCAGGAGGAAGGAGGTCCTGATTTCTGGCTGCAGCCGCAACCCTCACTCTCTCATCTCAATTCCCCTGCTTCCACACACCAACCCCTCCCTCCTATGTGCCCTCTGGAATGCCCGCTCAGCCTCTAACAAACTCTCTACTATCAATGACCTCTTCCTCTCCCACTCCCTCAACCTTCTTGCTATTACTGAAACCAGGCTCCAGGATTCCGACTCTGTCTCCTCAGCTGCACTCTCCCATGGCAGCCTCTGGACTCATTCGCCCAGACCCAGCAGACGAAAAGGGGGCGGAGTTGGACTTCTTCTTTCCCACACAAAGCACGTTCCAGGTTCTTCCTGCCCCTCCGTCTCTGTCCCTCTGCTCTTTTGAAGTGCACTGTATTTGTCTTTTTTCTGTTTGTCTGAGGATCGCTGTCATCTACCGGCCCCCGGGCCCAGTTTCACGCTTTCTCGATGATTTTTCAGCATGGCTATCATACTTTCTCTCCTCTGAGGTGCCTGCCATCATCCTCGGCGACTTTACCATCCCAGTCAATGTTTACACCCCTGCCTCCTCTCAACTACTCAACCTAACTTCCTATTTTAACCTAACACAATGGTCACAATCCACCACCCACTCCAATGACAACACCCTTGACCTTGTATTCACCCACCTATGCACTCCCTGTAACCTCTCTAACACCCCTTTTCCTCTCTCTGATCACTACTTTATCAGCTTCACACTCTCCCTGCCTCCTACCTCCCATGCCTCCAACCAGCAAACTGTCACCTGTAGAAACCTCCATCACCTCAGCCCTGACCTTCTCCACTCTGCTACTGAGCGCCTCTATGATGAAATTGGAAATTCTGAAGGACCCTCTGCACACTGGTATATACCCTTTCATGCAGACTATGCAATAAATAGGGATATTTAGTTCACACATACTGCAATACATGCTTAAGCTGGCCAACTGCGTCAAAGTAATCCCTCTATGGCCAGTCCTACTCTGCCCTGCCTATGCAAATGCTACTGTGGACACAATGCTAGCATAGGGGAAAACACAATGGGGAGAGCTACCCCTACTTTACCATTAAAATCAACAGCACTACCATTAGTCCTTCCCCTCATGCCAGGGTGCTAGGCATAATCCTAGACTCTGACCTCTCCTTTGGGCCCCACATCCACTCACTGGCTAAATCCTGCCGCCTCAACCCCTGGAACATTTCCAAAATCCGCCCCTTCCTGACCAATGGCACCACAAAACAACTTATCCACGCCTTGGTTATATCCCGCCTCGATTACTGCAACTCCCTCCTCACTGGTCTACCGTTACACAGGCTATACCCCCTTCAGTCTATTATGAATGCTGCTGCTAGACTCATACACCTTACCAACCAATCAGCGACTGCTGCCCCTCTCTGCCAATCCCTTCACTGGCTTCCACTAACCCAACGTATAGAATTCAAAATACTAACCACAGCTTACAAAGCCATCCTCAACACTGCCCCTAGCTACATCACCGACCTCATCCACAGATACCGCCCAAATCGCCCACTCCGCTCCTCCCATGATAATCTCCTCTCTAGTTCCGTCATCACCTCCTCCCACGCTCACCTCCAGGACTTCTCCAGAGCCTCTCTCATCCTCTGGAACTCCCTACCACAGCATGTCCGGTCAGCCCCCACCCTGTCTGCCTTCAGGCGATCTTTGAAAACTCACTTCAGGGAAGCCTACCCCACCTCCACCTAAGAACTGTACTTGAATAACCTCCGCCAGATCATCCCCCGTAGCTATCACCTTTTGTATCACCTCCCCCTTCCTTTAGATTGAAAGCTCCACGAGCCGGGCCCTCCTATTCCTTCTGTACTGAAATGTATTGTAATTGTACTGTCTCCCTTATATTGTAAAGTGCTGCGCAAACTGTTGGCGCTATATAAATCCTGTATAATAATAATAAATAATAATAATTAGCACTGATCACTGTAACAGCGATCATCAAAGGAAAGTGGTGATCAAAGCTCTATTTGTGTGAGAAAAAAATGATAAAAATTTCATTAGGGTACAGTGTTGCATGACTGAGCAATTGCCAGTAAAAGTAGCACAGCACCGAAAAGCATGTGGTGCCCTGGTCAAGAAGGGGGTAAAACCTTCCAGAGCTCAATTGACTAAAAATAGTCGGTACAAAAAATGAAAGAACAAAACAGCTCTGCACTACTGCTCCTGCCATCCCTACTGGATTTTGTGTTTGATTTATATTATAAAGAAAGTAAAGAAAGAAGCTGGAACATACAAAGGTGTGCAAGGACACAACAACTCCCAGGTGGACA